CACACAATTCAGTGCATTGTACAGACTCAGTCCACATATCCCATGCTCCAAAAACTTCATTCTCGTATATGCAACCTTCTCCGTTATAAATACAACGCAAAAGAGGCCACTACAAAAACATTAAAGAAAATATAATTATAAATACATTAAAAAAAAAGTATAAATATGAGTAAACAACTAATCAAAAATTATATACACATAAAAAAAATAGTAGTAAAATACTATATGTTCACCACCAAAAAAGAATCTTGGATCGTTCAGGCCATCATATTTTAAAATCTCAACATAATTGAGCAAAATAAAGAAACAATCCATAATACGACTGTAAATCATCTGCTTAGTCAGCATTGTTAAAAATTCTTCACGCAATAAAGAATAGAATTCATTAAAATAGACTAAAATTTCCCTGTTTAAAAAAAATATATATATCATTACAAATACTGTATAACCATAAAAAGTAACCCTATAACATAAATAAAATTAAGACATAATTAAAATACTTACGACATAGAAAATCCAGCATAATTCTCTACAAAACAGTAGTCAGCTACTGCCATCCTCAAACTCCTCATTGATGACATTCTCTTGTTGTTAGATCTCATAAATTTTGATATTAACTGTAATTTATAACCACCAGGAATTCCACAGTTAATATCGCAACTAATAAATTCAGCACTTTCCACATAACTATTAACCCCACTAACAACTTGAATTTCCTTCTCACCATCATGCATGCCAACATCAACAAATTTCTTCTTCAAAATCTCCATGGATTCTTCAGGAGTGTACCCACACACAAAGGAGTGTAACACTTCGTTCTTTTGTCTCTTACCTTTATTTTGAGCTGGTGGCATTTTTTGAGTTGACTTTTTGGATGCAGGCTTAGAGGGAGGGTCATTTTGAGGAGGCTCAGAGGAAACCAGATTATCAGTACCCGAAACAGCCTTATCAGAAGAAGAGGCAATAACAATTCCTTTTTCCTTTCTATGACCTCTTAATTCTTCAATTCTCTCAACTTCCCTGATTTTTTCATTCCATTCTCGAGTTGAAAGATCATCAAGAGTCTCAAGACTTCCAAAAATATCTTGAGTTGAGAGAACATCATTATTCTCTTGAGTTGAAACCAAATTCTCTTAACTTGAAACAGTTGAAGCAATAGGACTATACACAACTATAGCCAAAGAATTATTATCATATGCAACAACATCAAAATGTTCAACATCATGAACCTCTTCAGCTTGTATTTCTTCTGCAGGAATAGCTATTGGCTCAGTAGGAACAAAAACACCCTGAACATTGCCACCTTCAATTGGCTCAGTAGCACTTGGCTCAGTAAGAGGCTCAATATCTAATTCTTCATTAATTGAAAGCAAAACATCTTCAACTACTGATTTTGCAAGAGATGCACCCAAAGAATCATCAAAGACCTTTTTAGCTTGAATAGGATTAGCAGTAGCGTCTTGAACAATATCAGCAAAACCTCTAAGAGCAAAACTGAGATGAAGGTGGTGTTTCAAGTTCTGAATTAGAACAAGAAAACAACTTAAATGAAGGCAAATCATCTACCATCTTCTTCATTACATTACCCTAATTTGTAATCTTGTCTATTTGTTCCCAAAATGATGGATCATTGAAAATGGGATCCAACTTTGAAAGAACAAGGGACTTTTCCTTTTCAGAATGTTAAATATCACCTTCAACCAATTCTGATTGCTTCTTGATCGAATTAATGTCTTGTCCGAATTGATAGCACATAAACTTCATATCCCTCTCCATTAACATAAGATTCTCCTCAACACCCTACAAAAATATTAACAATTCATCAATATATAAAAAAAGTAACCCCCTCAAAAGGCTCAATCCATTAATTAAACAAATAAAAATTAATCAAAAAATTAAAGTAACCTCAATCCATCAAATAAACAATAAAGGATCCATCAAATAAACAATAAAGGAAAATTTTTTACCTAGTATAACTTAAGTAATCCCTTACTTACAACTTAAATAACCCCATAAATAAAACTAAAGTAACCCCGTATAACTTAAGTAATCCCATAATTAAAACTTAAGTAACCCCTTATCCCTTTATAACTTAAATAACCCCATAACAATAATGTTAAATGAAGTAACCCCTTAACCTTCATAACCCAAGTAATCCCATAATTATAACTTAAGTAACCCCTAATACCATTTATAACTTCCTAAACCCTTTATAACTCAAGTAACCCCTCAAACCTTTATAAACTCAAGTAACCCAATAATTAAGAAACCCTTATAACTATAACTTAAGTACCCCTTATCCCCATAATTATCACTTAAGTAACCCCTAATCCCCTTTATAACTTCCTAAACCCTTTATAACTCAAGTAACCCCTCAAACCTTTATAAACTCAAGTAACCCCATAATTATAACTTAAGTAATCCTTATACCCTAATCCCCTTTATAACTCAAGTAACCCCTCAAACCTTTATAAACTCAAGTAACCCCTCAAACCTTTATAAACTCAAGTAACCCATAATTATAACTTAAGTAACCCTTATAAGTATAACTTAAGTAACCCCTTTCTCCTTTATAAACTCAAGTAATTCCATAATTATAACTTAAGTAACCCATTTCCCCTTTATAACTTAAGTACCCCTTATCCCCTTATAACTTAAGTAATAAAAAAAATCAAAATCAAGTGAAAATAAACAGTAATTCAACAACAAAACAACATGAAAACAACAAAACGATGTAAAAAATTACAGTAGCAAAGAATTTGAAGTAGAAATTTCACAAAAAACAACGAAGTTACGAGAAAAATTACAATAAACATCAGATACAAGGAAGAAAATCATCAAAACAACAAAAACTACAGATAATTCAAGTAAACAAAGAACAATAATTGTGAAAACGCAAAAATTAGGGTTTCAAAAGTACCTGGATCATCAACGACTGAACATGTAGAAATTCCTTTCTTTCCCGAACGAACGACCTTCTTGATTTTAACCATTTTTGACAATTGAGATGAAAAAAGAAGAAAATTTAGAGCAGAGAGAACGTAATCTAGAGAGAGAAAGAACGAAATTGCAGAGAAAATTAAAGAAAAAAGTGAGAAAAGAGAGAATTGCAGAGGGCGAAATAAAGGGTCGAAGTGACAGAAGTAATGGCAGTTTGGGAAAAGAGGAAGGAAACTGGAAAAGCAACTTTGCGAAATTCAAATTAAACTGTTGTATTAAAAATAACGAGGAACGGGATTAGATTGGGAGTCCGTTATTTTTTTGGGCCTTAAATAAGGCTGGGCCCGTTTTGTACAGCAGGCCGCATGGTGCAACAGGCCGTATACAAAAATTTGCGGACCATAATACTGTGTAAACATGTCAATATAAATAAGAGAAAATACAAGTTTATCACCTTGATAAACAAAATATAAAATATGTTTATCAAGCGGCAAAAATATAAATAAATTAGCAACTTTTTATTGAATTTTAGTCCCACACTCGTTGAAATTATTACGAAAATGTTGCTGATTACACATTTTGTTGATTTATTTATAAATTTACCACTTGATACATCAACATGATAAATTGGGCAATCTCTATATAACCTTCGGTGGTTTGTACATTACTCCGTATACTTCAAGGATATTGAAGGAGGCCCATCCTATAGCACATACCAAAGTACCCAACTTTCCAGGCCCAGCCCAATATCAAACAACACCTCAGCAAAACCCAAACACCCCAGAATTTGGGGCCTTTGGTTTTAGTTGCCAGTTTTTGCCTTAGAGATGATTCATGTGAACATAAAGGTCATAGGCTTGTATAAATGTAGGATAGTCCCTCCATCCCATAATATAGTTCCCGTTTTGAACTTGTAACATTTTGCTAAGTACTGCACAATGAGAACCTATAGCGCGGACTTCAGAAAGGCGGTTATGAGGTTATGTCTATTAGGAGTACTAATTGCAAATTTATACACTAAATCCATCAATACAACATAATATCATTGTTAAGGTCATGTCTATTAGGAGTACTAATTGCACATTTATGGACAAACAAGTGAAAACTTTAGGTGCTTAAACTCCTTTTTGGACTGCTAAGAGTGCAGCCTAAGCACTTGCACTCATCAATATGCTAAAATTATTCTGGCTTTTAGACCCCATAAATTAAACATTCTTGATTAGGACATATAAACAAGCTAGGTTTGTTACTTTCATTATCTCAATACTCCAATTTGGACAACTAATATTGTCAAGCTGTATGTACCGTGTTAGTGTTTTATAGTTAAGCTATCAACATACCTATGTACTAGTAGTCTTACTCTTACTCCTCCATGTGCTAAGGTCGATACAACTTGACAGTTGACATGAATAATGAATCTTGATTTATGTTACATGGACTCTTCATTTCACCTCTGCTACCCATATCAGACCCTCGACACTCGGACGGACATGAGTGTGACACTTGTACTGTTGTACACTTCACTTTTGGTTCAAAATCATGATTTTTTTCACAAAATAGCCGAGTTGGACACTTGAACACATATCCATGTCGGATATGGGTACCCAAGTCCATGTAATAGAGATGTTGATCTTCTTTGATTCTTAAGCTAAAGGATAGTTTTTACGGATTTTAGCTACTATAGGTTTATTTGAATGTTCCACGTACGACGTACCCATTATTTGTAAGCTGCATTTATTTCAAAAATGTCCAAATCATCACACAAACCAAGTTCATTCCTTCTGTATAGTAATTGTGTTTCGCCATTAAGACAATTTATGCTAGAACAAGACTTGCACAACCGTCATTAACTCGTTTCGTACAGTTCGTGAAGCATACGTATTTTCCAAAAATAGGATCAGAATGAAGGTTGCCTGTCTAGTGCCCACTATTTCATCTTAATTATATTGCTCTTTGGCAAAACGAAAAACCAATTACGTAAATACATTGGTTGATTAACTTTATTACTGTCAGAAAAAAAATATATATATATATATATACTTGTATATCACTGTAAAACTTTATATGATCCAAGTAATAAATTGTTATAGATATGAGATACAATAATCGATATAAGAAACTATACTTGTAGGATATATTTTCAATATTGATATAGATTGGCTAGGGTTATGGCTTGTATAATTACTAGATGATTTATTCAATAACAGAACAAGCAAAACTATTATACTTTACCCTAAACTTGTGGTAATTTTTTCAGAATTCATGAGTTGAAAGCTGCACAGTTCCTTCTGATTTCACCTTGATTACCAGTTTTTACACCAACTCGACCAAGCTTTCTCATTGCAGTAACGAAAGCTGCGTTAAAGTTGCCAGGATTGTTGGCAAAATCAATAACTGTTGGTCTAGAAGCTGGGTTTGTAAAGAGCTCCTGATCTGAAGTAAACAACCCCATTCCTGCAATTAAGTTCTGATAATACAAATTGTCGAATGTTTTCGATCTCGGCCTTGCAGGGTCCATAGGGACAACTTTTTTGGGGTTTACACCTGGTGGGCAGTGTTGCTGCAACAGTAGAGCATATATGGGGTTCATGGTAGGATCAACTGGGCTGGATTGAGAGTAATTGTAGATACGTTTCGAAAACTTTGAGCAGTGGGCTGCACCTATGGTATGAGCTCCTGATAGCGCGACTAGATCAGTTTGGTTCAGGCCATGCTTGGTGAACATGTTAAGTAGCTCGTTAAACTTGTAGTCTGGATCCGGTAAATGTTTTGTGACATCTGATTTCTTTGACCTTAACCCATCTCGACGTCCAAGTTCTACATTGTATGAAGGGCCTCCTGTCTAAAAACACACATGAAATTAATCATGAATCAGAAAATTTTCAAACAGATAGAAAGGGTGTAATTGATAGATAGGTCATGTGTAATATGTAAATGTACGCGTGTTAGAGTTTCCAATGTGGCTGATTCATTAGGTACATATGGGATGGACTTACCACAACTACAGCATCTCTGGCGGCAAGAGCCAGAATATCAGCACAAGAGACTACACCGGGACAAACTGCTTCAACTGCTTGCTTGGCCTTTATAACTGTGTCAAAGCCGTCTCCTACTAGCGAGAGATTGTCCTCTGAGTCCTTTTCTGCATCGCCATTTGGTGAGAAAATCATGACTGAAGCATCACACCCCTGTAAATCAAAAGGGATTATCAGGTTAACACTTTTACTCAAGAATATACAATATTAATTTGAACATTTAGTCAAGTACTCTATATTTTTCTGCTGAGTGTTTTGGTGCACGTATGCTGCCTTAAGAAAGGAGCTAACTTGAGGAGTCCTTGAAACTGTGTGGCCCTATGTTCTTGTTTGGAGGAAGTAGTGACCAATTCTGTGTGATCTAATTATTTCGAAAGGGTACTTCAGTAAAATTGTTTTGGTGTAATTTCATTTTACTATCAACCCATATACGAAGTATATTATATCCTAAAGTTGGATCATTTAGCCTAAAGTATATTATACCCTCTTAACTCGCCGCATGAACACCGTTCAAAATGTGTATTAGCTTTTTAAAAATACAGCTACAAAACTTGTTAATTTGGATCGTGGAGATCATTACCTGAACAAAGCAATCATGGAAAAACATACGTAATGTTGCTTGAGCTGTTACGAAATTTTGATTGTATCTCTTAGTTACAACCTTTTTCACTATATTTTTTGAGATGAGGGCAAGAAGCACTATAAAAAATTTCCTCCCACAATAACGATCATAATGATCACTAAAATTGAGCAGAGTATTCTCTGGTCTTCCTTTTTCTTTCTTGCTTTCTCTCTTGAAAGCATTTCTTAAAGGTTGCTAATAATAATATGATTGAGCTTGATGAAGAGAAACAAGAATTCTGTACACTATGGTCTAAGCATCCAGCTTATTATATAAAGCCTTTCTTTGTAGTAATGATGTTGTCTTATTGCCTAAACTGCTGTAATTAGTCAATAAAATGAGGCCACGTCAACTTTGTGACTGTTGTATACATGCCCTTAATTTTAGTTCAAATCAATTGCACACAGTCTTCAATGAAACGCTGTACCATAATAAATAAGTTCAAGCATAGATAAAAATTATTAACAAATAAATAGATAAAAAATTATAACCAATTTTATTTTTTTTTTGTAAAAAATGCATATTAAATCACTTCCGATCCACTAAGACCCCTCTTAAATATGGTTTCTCTCATATATAAGTAAAAATTTACCATTAAAATACCGGCAAGAATATTTAAGTTTAACTTCTACAAGAGAAACACCGAACAATGCATAATTAATCTACAACTCTATCTTGAGTTGTATTTATTAAGGTGAATAAGTTGTTTGGTGCAATTTGGTTAATAAAACATTAAATATCACCGGTGGATGTACTATAATATTGATTTGATAGGTGAAACTGTATGGTGCTAATCAATCTTGAACAATTTAATGAAGATCGGTGTTGTTTATAATTAAAGTGACGTATGAGTTTTGTGCTAGTGTTGGCTTGCACCAACAGTGCAAAATTGACATTAACACCACAACAAATGCCAACATTGTTCTTCAACAAATTTTTAATACTACCGTTGATCCGTTTTTTATTATGTGCAATTGTGAGACATAAAATAATCACTTGTTGCATATAATAAGAAATAAAAGTAGTATATCTTTTTGCATACACTGCTTCTATAGAATTATGAACTCGTGTTTTTAGTTTGGTTGTCATTAACTTTTTAGATTACCGAAAATAGTCATGTAGTTATAATACAAAGTACAGAGTATAAGGTTTCAAAAAAAAAATACAGAGCATAAAATATTTACTAATTTTTTTTATTCAACTATAATAATTATACAGTTAGTTGAACAAACTTTTATCGACAAACCTCTAAATCCTTAATGTTCCATTATACAAGTACGTAGAGAATTATAAATACAGTATTTAATTTGGGACAGAGGAAGCACGTAGTAATTTACATTGAACAATGGATCTGGACTTTGACCCTTTGAGGATATTGAATGAGGCTCAGCCCATAGATTAATACCAAAGTCCAAAGTATTCAGCTTCCTAGACCCAGCCCAATATCAAACTATCACCTCAGCAAAAACCCAAACACCCCAGATTCAAAAATTCTTAAAATCAATTTGTCAAACGGTAGAATAACCCAGAAAATTTTGAAATACGTAGTATATTCTCAAATTCTCTCTCTTACATAAAAATGGCGATGGAAATCGAACAAGGTAAATCCGAATCAGATTTTCCTTATTGGAAATCTATATATCGAAAATTCGCACCTGATTCTCCCTTTTTCTCTTCCGGAGATATTGAACGACAACTTCTTCATAAACAGGTATTTATTTTTTCTTAATCCTTGTCAAATTTCATAATTTATGCTACTAATTACTTCGATTCAGCTCATTTTTACTTAAATGACAGTTTTTTGAGCAATATTTTGTGCTATAATCATATTTTTTTTGGTTACTATTAGGTTTAAAATTTGCTTGAAATTAGTGGTTAATTGGGGGAAATCAGGTTAATTTGGTATAAATTTTTTTTGTTCTCAATAGTTAATTGAGACAGCTTTTGTACTTAAATAGAAGTAATTAAAGTTTAGCCTATTCTCTGTTAGAGTTGAAAGAACAATTAATGTTTGACATTTGCGTAGCTGCTTGAAAATGAAGTCTGATTCTCCTTATGTTATACTGTACTTCAAAGTAAAATTACGAAATTTTTATATTTTGAAAATAATTTTAAGAGTTTTGACTTATGAGGTGACAATATGACATCCGTAATATGAAAAGTCCGAGTAACATGGGTAAGTTGCAACTTGCAAACTATGGAGTAATAAAATAAAGTATAAACTGATGAAGTAAAGAGTATATACATTTGTAATTCGTAAACTCAATCAGAAAGTACAGTTGTTATTTACCGTAGCTTGTAACTGGTTACTTGTCCCACTCCCTCATACAAGTAAATAATTAAGGATATGGTATGATTTTACATCCGGATATTTTTATGATAGCTGCATCATTTTAAGTTGGACGTTTTGAAAAATCCAATCATAAACCATAATAATTTGGTGAAAAATAACAAACATCTTGTTTCTAGAGGGAGGAAGCTATGTTATGAATGACGGTGGTTTCATTAATATGGAAAACCATGAGTTATCAAATGGTCTTCTCGTTATTCTTCATAACATAAATACATAATGGCATATTGGCATAAGTGTTGGCTCTTACTCACTGTCCATATAAATGAATCCTGACTTTTAGTTTAAGCTTCTCTTTGGGAAGTTCTCTTAATGTTAGAGATGATATCGCAGAATTAGTTCGTTAGTATCCTAGCATTCTCCAATTTGTGTACTTTGACCATTAAATTTTACGGTTTCCTTTCAATTCCCGGTAAAGCTTGCTTGTAATATAGACCCTGTACTGAGGTTAATTACAAAGTGGCTTCTTACTTCAAGGCCAAAGTTGCAAGGGGATATCCTATGGTAAGTATTAACTATCAACATATGCTTTTATATCTTCACCTAATCACATATATTTCCTCCCCGGTAAAGCTTGCTTGTAATATAGACCCTGTACTGAGGTTAATTACAAAGTGGCTTCTTTTCTTTCTTTTTCTTGACTTATTTCCATGTCCTCCAGGCTGCAATTGACTTGACTGAAGATGAAAAGAAGCAACTTATTGACATGGACGATCATGAAAGGTAATATCGTATTATCAGCTGTTTCAAGTCTTGTTTTTCCAATTTAATTTGTTCAAATGCTATAAATGGAACTTGTTTATGTCTCTTTAGCCATTCTCTCCCTTTTCCAGCTGGATGGGTAAGCATAAATATGATAATTAGATGACTAAATGCCCAATCTTTGTCCTGCTTGTATTATTTTTTAACCGGATGAGCCTACCTCATGTGATAATATGATTGCAGGGAGATTTTCTGTCCAATTGTTGGTTGTGGCGCACGGTTAAAATCATTGGAAGGTTTTGAGGATCACTATAATGCGAGCCATACTGCATCCTGTTCAGTGTGCCATAAAGCATATCCTACGCAACGCTTGCTTAGCATACATGTGTCTGAAGTGCATGATTCTTACTTCAAGGCCAAAGTTGCAAGGGGATATCCTATGGTAAGTATTAACTATCAACATATGCTTTTATATCTTCACCTAATCACATATATTTCCTCCCCCCCCCCCTGATTAGTTACATTTTGAAGCTTTCCTCTTGGTGATACTTGATATTGCTTCTGAAGGTACTCGGGCACACAAAAAATACTAAACTGATAGCATTCTTTTATCATGTTGGAAAACTTAACTATAGCAATGGAGACGACTAATTATCTCTCACGAGCATGCTATTAGACCATAGGGTGGGGGTTGATAGGATGGCACTATGGCAGAATGGTTCAGTTATGCTAGTTTCCTCACTTTCAAGTGGTGGCAATGCAGCTGCGGAACTAACTACCAATTAAGAAAAAGTTGTTTGTCAATGCACATATTGTAGAAGTTATGATGAATGGGTGGTGTTTGTTACTTAGTGCACATTTTTTAAAAGCCAAATTCAGAAATTAAGATTGATTAATTTCATATTCAGTACGAGTGCTTGGTGGAAACTTGCGGGTTGAAATTCAAAAGTTACAAAGCCCGACATCAACATCTTGTGGACAAGCACAAATTTCCTACAACATTTGAGTTTTATAAGAAAGTGCACCTGTCCAAGAAACAAAGGCAAAAGCAGTGGCGTAAACAAGCTCTTTGCAAAGAGGAAACTTCAAATGGAATGCCATTGGACGCTGAGGTTGATGACACCATGGAAGATCTTACTTCTGCTATCTGTCAATTAAGTACTTCTGACTCCATGCCTTCGTCCATCAGCTTTGGCCGTCGCCACAACCGTGGCTTGGCCTTTGTTCCTCGGTCTGTTCAGCGTGAGAAAAGACCGGACGACTCATCTTCCACAACGAATAGATAGCAACACATGTTTGATAATTTGATTTTCTTTTGAAAATAACAATGGTGTTATGCTACAGTATCATTATTATCATAGTAGTATACTGTTTTCTTCTTCCAATGATATGGTCAAACAGTCCTCGTTAAGCCTTAAATGAAATCGATGACTAAATATCTTTAGCTGTGGAGATCATAAATGGTATAGCAAATTGAATTAAACTTTGCCTACACTTCATTTTTCAAATATCTTACCCTGCAACCTAAGAACTTCTCCCCATAGTGACCCAGTAAGTAAACTCCTTTAGTATTAACGAAGTAACTCCCATAATGGTTGGTCAGACACATTTAAAAGTTGGTGTATAAATATTTGTTTACATATATTTCTCATTAATTTGCATCAAAAAAAAAAAAAAAAAAAAAAAACATACTTTTCTCATTAATGATGTCAACAACTAAATTTGTGACATAAAGTCAAATCAATAGAGCTGACCAGACATAATTAGCTATGACGTGTACATCGCGCACTAACCGTCTTAATCGAATGATTGGTGTAATTAATGTTATTTTATTTTCAATATTTCTAAAATAAAATTAAGTTGGGAATTCATGACAAAGTCACGCACAAATCGGTATAAAAATGTTATTTTATCTTCAATATTTTCTCTTTTAGCTTGTTATAATCATTTTTCTAAAAATATAAATAAAATTAGTTTTAGTAGAGAGAGTTTTCTTCTAAATCGCTCCCTTAATTTCCGTATAGGTATATAAACTGTTGAGCTTTCCTAAACAATAACACTCTTACTTGTACTCCCTCCGTCTCCAAAAGTTTGACCCTTTTGGCCCAATTTTAGTCCCAAAATGTTCATCCCATTTCCATTTTAATACCCTCTAATTTGCAATAATATTTATGCAAAATTAGCTTCCCCATGCAAATTTTGCTTTTTCTATATACTTTTATTACTTTTTCTCTCTACTTTTTTGCAATTCTAATGTAAATTTCTCTTTTCAATTTACTTTTCTTAGCTTCCCCATACACTCTTATACTTCCAATAACTTTCTTAATACCCGCGAAATCAACCCAAAAGGGTTTGTTCTTTCGGATACGGAGGGAGTAACTCACGTAAAATGGATATAATTCCGCCACGGTCAGACCTTCATGAAGAACTCCTATCCGCCATAGCCAGATGCTTGAACCCAATTGACATCCTTAGCTTCCGCAGCGTTCGTAAATCATGGTATTCTTCCTCTTTACATTCTCTCTCCTCCCCGCTTTCCACTCTGTTTCCTCCTCTGCCTCTCACCACCCCATCTCCGCCCAATTCTCTTCTAAATCGCTTCTACTCTATTTTAAACCCCAATGCAACTCACGACGCCGTCGTTTTATCTGCCACTGTTTCTATGCTTTTCGTCCTTTAATCGATCAAGATTTTCTATCATGGATGCCTAGGGTTTCGCTTCTTATTCTGGATCAATCTGTTTCTGGAAAGGTCAGTTTTCGTAAACCCTTTTGTAGGGTTCCGTATTCTATGCCTATTAGTTTCCCTCGAACCCTAAATTTGCTTGATTTTCGTGTTTCTGAATTGGGTCGATTTTACAATCTTAGTTATCTTCCTAAAGGGAGTGTTTAACCATCTGTTTTTGGGATTGTTCATAAAGTGGTTTTGTTTTCGAATAATAATGGTTTGGCTGTTGTTGTACTTGCTGATATTGGGAAATTGGGGTTGCTTAGGTTGGGTTTAAGTGTTGAGAATGTGGGTTCTGAAACAGAATGGGAAATTATACATGATGGTAAAGGAATTCAATTTGATGATATTGTCGAATTTAAGGGTCGGGTTTTAGGCATTGATCGTAGAGGAAGTGTGTATGAGATTAAGAGAGGTTGTGCTAACCGTTTGGCAATGGATGCCAATCATGCCATCGTCTCTCCCATCACTAATGGAGGTGGAAACCGGAAACGTTTAGTGGAGTTGTTGGGGCGCTTGTATTTAGTTGATCGCAGTAATCTTAGTGGGGAGAACGATAAGGTTTATGAGCTCAATAACAAGAAATGGGTTGAGGTTAATAGTCTTGGTGATCAAACTTTTTTCTTTAGTCCTTAATTTTCCTTTTCCGTGGCAGCTGAGAAGCTCCATGGTTCTTATGGAAAGAATTGTATCCTCTTTAGTGAACAAAGTTTTTTGAACTACGATGGATACGATGACGACTATGTTCTATTTATGACATCACTATCCAATAATCTTCATATTAGAATTTGGCACTTAGAAGATGCTTCTCATCTTGGTTTACTTGAATCACCCCCTGGCAATTCTAATTTATTTTGGCCGCCTCCATCTTGGTTCTGGCCGAAAGACAGGTATGTATTTAATCACCATTTTTGTTCCTTAGTAAGAAATTTGTTTTGTGCTTTATTGCTTGATATGTTATTTTAGGCAAAACACTTTATTTCATGTTGTCATGGTATGTTATCTTACACAAAACAGATGTTATGGAATTTAGATTAGTGATACCTTTAATAATTTCCTTCAATCAATTTATGAATGGAGAAAGAAACAGTCTTTACCACAGCTGCTGTAGAGCAACTGCCAAAGTTTTTAAGAGCCTAGTGTACACACCCATGTATGATATATCCTGCTCTAGCATCTTTTACCACTGACTGGCAACTACTATTGGTACCTTGATTAAAAAGCTCTTTGAATTGTTAAAATTGTGCTTTTGCAGTAGACAATAATAGTTGCTTCTATCGATGTGGCACGGTGAAATTCAAACTGTTGGTTGCACTCATGGAAGTGTCCAACATGAATGTGTCAGGCTCTTTTATGTTTATTGAGTAGTATGAGTAGCACAGGCTGCTATTTTGGGGCACTTTTAAGATTCAAATTGGGAAGTACATAAAGGTTCCTCATTTAGAAAACATTATGCATTTATGCGGAATGGTTCTATTATATTCATGGTGGCGCTCTGGAATTTTCATATTCTATAATATGTAGATTGTAGAATACAAGTTGCACTATGCTTTTCCCTTTTTGGGTAATTGTGCATTTTTCCCAGTTTAGCTTAATCTAGTTTGCAGACTGTTGAGTTTGTTCATTGATAGAAAAAAGTGAGGGCTTTGAGCATTCTGAAGGTTAATTTTATTTTGAGGTTGCAGGAAATAACTATGAAAGAATGAGAATCCGCCTCATTGGGGTGTCATGATTTGTGTGGGCTTATTTTAAATTTAAACGAGCTGAAGGATGTTTCCAAAACAAGATGAAAAGGATTTTGGCTACTACTCCCTCCGCTGTTTTTTTAAGTGCATAACTTTTCTTTTGCAGCTGTTTTTTTTAGTGCATCACTTTCTTTTTGGACATTTTCTCTTTTTTTTTTTTTTTTTTTTTTTTTTTTGTATCTTCTTCTCACATGGTCCCTACTTTTACCTTTTTATTATTTCTCTTTTCTCATATCCATTTGTTTTAGCAAACTACTCCGTATTACCCCCACTATCTCTTTTCTATTACTACATATTTTTTTATTCCCAACAAATGCTACTTGTACAAAATTTTACTCCATTTAACTCACTTTTCAAAATCTACATGCCAGTCAAACTGATGCACTTATAAGAACGGAGGGAATAGATACCTGTGTTAATGGATTGATAGTAGGGATGTATTTGGGCAAGGGAAAGGAGTATGGTGCATATACTGTTATTTTCTCCTGTCATTGTCGAGTAGTTGTCTTCAATGGCAGCAATCTATTGTAGGAGACAGTTGAATCATCATCATAACCATTTCGGAAGCAATTGCAGTAAAACCATCTAAATGGTTTTTATCCTAAAGAAATTTATAAAATTTGTTTGTTAGTCAAACAACCCAACGGTGTATATCAAATAGTACCTGGTGGACATTGAAGATGAAAGTATTTTAATGACTACAATTCTACAATAATAGTATGGCTTTTGAAGAATCATCTTCTTGCTTGTCTAATTATGAATTAACAGAGTAGAATATAACTGGAATAGGTTGTTAGGCAATGTTGACTTTTTTCTGTTTTCTGTCAGGTCTGAGCGTCTTGGAACCCTCTCAATTGCATTTGATCGGTTACAATCAAGGATTCCAGATGAGCATTCGAAGGTTCTGCCTTTTTTATCTCCTCTCACCCCCCCCCCCCTTCTTCTCCCCCTCTAATATGTGTAAGAACCTGTAGATGTATGTCAGTTGAGTGTAAAATTTCTGATTATAACTTACAGATGAAAAGGAGTTTAATGACAAGAGGACATAAAAGAGGGCGGTCTTAGATAAAGTAGGAGTAGAGAGAAAGAATATTAATCTCAAGTATACCTGCCTTTGTATAGCCGTAGTTCGTGAAATTTTGAGTTTTCAGTTACCGGTTAAGGCAGTAGAAGACTTCATGATAATTTGTGTATATAAAGAGGAAACAATATTGACTGCTAGTAACAAAGACACGTGGCGGGATGAAATAAATTTCCATTGAGTTTAATAAATACTATAGATGTGACAGAGGTTTTGGAAAAAATGATGATGCGTTATTGCCTTCATCTCTAATTTTGACTCCTTCCCATCCCTCCCTCTCTATCTCCTTTGCTTCTTCTGTTCTTCCTGTTTGCACAATTTTAAGCAATTGACGTTCAATGCAGGCTAAGATCCATGAACTCTCTCCGCTGCAACAAAAATTTGCACTTAAACTTAAGGAATGCACTCTTAAGATGAAGGAACTCCTGAATCGATTCAGAGAGATAGTTAACAAAATGAAGGCTGTTGAAATGCTAGCTGTGTCATTGGAGCAACTCTGCAATTCTGTAAACCTGCATAATCAAGTAATTTCTGTAGCTCACTTTTACATATAATCCCTAGAATTTTGCTGTCAAAGCATATGATATCGTTTCTTAATGATTCCTTTTAATTGGATTGTGACATGTTGGCCTGCTACACTATATAAGATTACAAGGTTTGTAGAAGAGTGAAAGAAGAATTTGAACTAAAAGTCTTTATGTTGCTCATTATTGCTGTTGGGTTTAGTATCCTTAAGTGAGTGCACATCCAAAATCATCTAGCTCATATGCTAGTGAATGCCACAACTTCTCCTCATTGTTCATTTTTAAAGGTTTATTGTTCCCCATTCTCTATCCCTGAAAATTGGAATTATAACACAACAGTTTGTGAAACTTATATGGCATGGATGGACTTTTTAAATTAGAGTTTTGAAGTTTAGAAGAGAGAAATAATTCTGATTTGGATTTCCGAGTTTATATTTCTTGTTAAAACAAAGTTTGTGTAGGGTTATGAATGATCACATACTCATTGTGGCTTCTTCTGGCCAATCATCTGACTGATGGTGGTTTGCATAATCATCATTAGCTCTATGTTAATGGTACAACCATGTATAGAGGTTGGTGGTGGTGATGTAGATACAATAGGCGGGTTTGCTGGTGAATGGTGCCGCAAGTAATTTTAACCTATCAGATTAGAATATGACAGGAGAGGATTGATTCCTTTCTTACATTTCCATTCTTGTTTTGGTCATTGTTTTTAATTGATATCATGGCTTGCGTGATAGAATTATGGTTTTAAAATGGATTGCCTTCCTGTGCAGATAGGATCATCCAGACAGCTTACAGCTATGGAAAGGCATGCATCTGTCGATTCAATACTGAAAGCTGTGAAACAGAATAACTGTGATTTTGATTGGTTTTCTATGGTGACAAGTCCTGTCAGAACTCGATGCTTATATCCTTCAGTTTGAAGAATTTGAACTTGATGTGGAGAATGCCCTCGAAAAGGTTGAATAGCTCATTTGTCACCATTTATGGATTGATCGGATTCACCAAGATTGTCAAGTGTGATGTTTATCGTTTCAGTAAGCTTATGAGTTATGACTCTATTGACCTCAACACTTCAGGCTCAATTTTATTTATTTATTTATTTTTTACAAAAGATTCTATTAAAGAAATACAGTATTACAACCTAGACACAAACTAATACAAGAACACAAAACAACCCTTAAAACCACACTCCTACAAACTCCATATACAAGGAAAACCATCCACCCCATGGAGAAATGTTTTAACAACCAAGGGAACACATTCACACCCCGACAAGGCTACTAGAATGACCATCAACCCAACTAACAAGCAATTGCTTAATCTTACAACCTTAAAACCAACCAACAAGGTTCAAAAGATCACGACAAAACTTCGTTTACTTCCAAAAGTGGAACTACTCTATGGAATTCTACCTCATGACCAAGCAGAGAAAGAGAATTGTTTAAAAACAAAAACTCAATCAACAAAACAAGCAACTTATACAAGAACAACATAATTAAACTAAAGCAAACCAATAACAACTAAAAGAAATCATGCACACAAGCATGCGTGAGAACACAAAAAAAGGCAACGATAACCTTATAAAACCTCACCGGCAGAAACCCAACCCAACAGCAAGAACAATCATCAATGGAAACGCAAAGAACCCCTCACCGAACCTAACCTTGGATACGCGAGAAAACCCTAATCTTAACTTCACCTTTACCGTCGAGAATTAATTAACGAAATTCCTTTCGACAGCGGCGTTAAGCATAGCCTTTGGTTTTTGATTCGTTGAAGTAAGCCGCAATACACTTGACGAAGTACCAAATTAAACGGAACCATAGAAGAGGAACTCCTGAATTCTTCACCAACAGACCCAAAAACGAAAATAAAAAAGCAAGAAATGAAATTAACGGAAGGAGTGGGCTCGCCAACAACAGTTAGGTGAAACGCGCTAGTGGCCGGCGAGCAGGGGTTATGAATAGGGGGGCGGTGGAGGCGGTGAAAGGATAGGGATGGGGGTTAGAGAGAGAAAGGGTTGAGATCACCTACACTCTTTGTTTCGGCTCAATATTGAAGCATGTGCATATATATAATGTTATAATATTTGTGAAATTTCCTTAAATGGTAATTGTTGCAATATTATTGGAACAAATAAAGTATCAAACAAGTAATTATAAAGGTACAAGGAAGAGAGGAAAAAGAAGAGATAGGTAGTACTTGTTAGACATAAATTCACGTGCAAAATGGACAAAAAATCATGGGAACAACTATCACTGAGAGTATATTTTGTATCACTGAAACTCCAATGGAATTTTTTTAAATAATGCTGAAAGTGTATTTTATACCATAGAAACTTCAGTGGTATTATTTGACTGCCTAATGAGATATCTCAAAAGTTGCAACTAAATGATGCTTGAAATGACTATATTGCCTCTGCGAGACATTTGTTTTTTTATCGTTGTGATTTATACTTTATAGTTATTTTAACGGCGAGGGGTATATCGATCTGTTTTAATCGTGAAAAAAATCTTGTTTGATTAATCTGATTGTAATATTAGAATTTAAAAATAATCTTTTTAATCTTTATTCATAAAACAAATTGTACACTATACTAAACTCAAAAAACTGAATATGAACAAAACCCACTGTAAGAGAAATACTACATTGAAAAACATAAAGGACACTTACATTTACCTAAACAGAATTATTTGAACTTACCTAAACTTATATGACCTTGTTAAACTTTGCCTTATAAACCCTTATTGAATTTATTATACCTGATTGAACTTATTGAACCTTATTGAAACTTATTGGACCTGACTAGACCTTATTATTAGACTTGATTAGATTAGACCTTATTTAACTTATTGAAACTTATTAATTCCTATTTAACTTATTAAAAATTATTAGATCTTATCAAACTTATTAAACCTTATTGAATTTATTAGATCTTATTAAACATTTTTGTAACTTATCTGAATTAAAGCTGAACTTATTTTCATAAGTGAATAGACCCTATCCTAAGAATCTTCAATGACTAACATGTGGAAAAGGAAAGTAAATAAAGCAAACAAATGAAAGGTGGAATATTACCTCTTGTAATCATCATATCAATATATAGAGTATATAGAAACACAAAACCTCCTTACAAACCATTTTTCTTAAAAAAAAAAAAAAAAAAAAAATGGTTGATAACATCATTTGTAGTCTAACTTCCCAACTTCTTTTTCCTTTGAATCATACGAAGTAAATTTATTTAATTTAACTATTTATTTAAAAAAAAATTGATTAAATTGACATATTCACTTACACTAATCTTTTAGTATATCACTCTCTTACTAATATATACCCACTAACTATACTAAACTCCCTCCATCCTAAAATATCTAGTACGTAAGACTTTTTTCACTTCATGTATTAGCTTTGACCCTATTTTTTTTACTTACTTAATAAAAAAACATATTTTATATTATAAAATATATTGTTAGATAGGTATTAATATAAAGTTTAATAATATAATTTTTAAAATTATTTTCATTAATATTTAATTATATAAAAATATAATCAAACTAATGTATTGATATGTGCGTTGACTCATTGACTGTGTCAGATATACTGAGATGGAGAGATTATATTATAAAAACCTCATTTTGGTCTTCATTCAATAATTTTCCCAAAATTTTGTGTATAAAACAGAGTAAGTACTACGAGTAGTATAAAAAAAAAATAAAGAAAGCATTAGTTATTATCATATGGAGACAAACTCTTCTTTAATTCCTATCCTCTCTTCAAACGCATTAGGAATTCGAATTCCCCTCATACGAAGGTTTCCTAATGTTTCTTCTTTTTCTTACTCCGCAATAACTTATAAAAAAATATGGAGACAAACAGCATTAGTCAAGTTTCCCATTTCCGTCAACCAATCAACTTCCACCACTTTAACAACCGTTACAAATTACTCTGTAATACATGTACGGAGTAAAAGTCTAGGTATGTTCTTCAATCTCTGTTTTATTACAAACAACTGCTCTTGTTCAGTTTATACCTAAAACCCAGAAATAACCTTGATTAATGGGTGTAATTCCGCCATGGTCGGACCTTCCTCCAGAACTTTTATCCGCCATTGCTGAATTCTTAATCACAAACCCAATTGACATCTTAAGCTTCCGAAGCGTCTGCAAATCATGGTGTTCTTCTTCATCATTTTCTTCGCCCACTCTCTCTCCTCCCCTGCCTCTCACCACCCCTTCTCCCCCCTATCCTCTTCGCCAAAGCTCTTACTGTCTGAATCCCGATTTTTCCGTTCTATCTGTCACTGTTATCTACGCTCTTCGTCCTCCAATTGATGAAGATTTTCCATCTTGGATGCCTAGGGTTTGGGTTCTTTTTCTCGATCAATCTGTTCCTGGAAAGGTCAGTATTCGCCAACCCTTTTCTAAGAATTCTTACTCTTTACCAATCAATTTTCCTCGGACCCTTAATTTTCTTGATTTCCATGCTTCTGAATTGGGTCGATTTTATAATTTTAGTTATCTTTCTAAAAAGGGTTGTAATCTTATTCAAGACAGCTTTCGGGTGGTTCATAAAGTGGTTTTGTTCTCAAATTGTAATGGGTTGGTTGTTGCTGTTGTTCTCTCTGAAGAGGGGAAATTGGGGTTGTTTAGGTTAGGTTCAGGGGTTAAGGTTGAGGATGTGGGTGTGCCGACACAATGGGAGATTATACATGATGGTAAAGGTTTTCGCTTTGATGACATTGTCGAATTTAAGGGCCGGGTTTTAGGTATTGATCGTAGAGGGCGGGTGTATGATATTGTGATAGGTAAGGGTTCTTCTACAAAGTTGAATGTTGTTGTTCCTCCCATTGCTGGTGGTGGTGGAAGGCGGAAACGTGTTGTGGAATCGTTGGGGCGCTTGCATTTAGTTGTTCGTTGTACTGTTCGTGGGGAGAATGATGGTTTGTTTAAGGTTTATGAGCTCAATGAGGGTACCAAGAAATGGATTGAGGTTAAAAGTATTGGTGATCAGACTTTTTTCTTTGGTACTGAATTTTCCTTTTCTGCGGCAGCTGAGTTACTCCATGGATCCTATGGGAAAAATTGCATCCTTTTTAAACAAAATAGTTTCGTGAATTATAGTAGTGGTTATGATGACAACTCTGAAATGTTTAGGAAATCAGAATCCAGTAAACTTCGTATTGGAGTACGGCATTTGGAAGATGGTTCCCATCTTAGTTTAATTGGATCACACCCTGGCTATTCTAATCTATTTTGGCCGCCTCCATCTTGGATTTGGACGAAAGACAAGTATGTTTTCAGTCATGGTTTGATTGGTTTCTGTTCTTTACTATGATTAGCTGTTTTGTGATTTATTCTTCTATTATATTTCTCATTGAAGTCTTGACTAGAATTGCTTCTGGAGTACCTTCTACTCTTCATCGGGAAGATAGGAACTGGTTTTTATCCTTGTAATGCTTCTACTCTTCATCGGGAAGATAGGATTTGGGTTTTTTTTTTTATTATTATTTATTTTTAAATCTTTGTAATGTGTTTGGTTTCTTGTTTTTGACCTGTAGATTGCCCTTTTGATTGGTTAGTAAACAATAACTTTCAAGTAGTTAATAAGTGTAGCCAGTTGGTCAAAGAGACCCTTCCTAGATGGTATACTCCCACCATGGTTGTCATTAGTTAGAAATTTAGATATTTTCTCTGTGAGCATGTCACACAGGAGCTGAGAATTAATGTCAAGTAAGAGCCTTCTAATATTCGTCTCTCTAGTGAGACGAAGATCAATGAAAGCATAGCCTAACCAATTTTAATTGAACTAGAGAATCATATTATTTGACATACTAAGTTCCTAAAAGCAAGATTCTCTTTTCTATATTCCTTCCAAAAGTTCCAATTATCCTGAAAAGACATCAATCATCAATTTTATAGAAACAATGTTGCATCTCCAAAGGAATGACAACAGTACAGTTGAAATCTTGCTCTTTAGAGTAATTTATTGCTTTATATGAAAACCTGTTATTTAACTGAAACTAGTTGATGACTAGAGTAGGTTGCCGGACGATGTTGACTAAATTTCTCTTTTACTGTCAGGTCTGAGCGTCTTGGGAACCTCTTAACTGCACTGGATAAATTGCAATCAAGGATTCCGGGAGGTGATAAGGTTCTTCCTCCCTTTTACCTTCCTCCCCCCATTTTAATCATAGTTATGCGTAGTATAAAGTATCTTGTAGATGTTAGTTGAGTGCTTATTAAAGTAGTAGTATAGATTGGTGATAGGGGTGCTTATGATGCGAGTCAAGTTCGAGTTTGGGGTAGCTCGATTCGACTCGTTAACATATCGAGTCGAGGTTTGACCGAGCTTTGACAGAGTCAAGCTTTGACCAAATTGACTGAGTCGATTTTGAGTAGCTTGCAACTTGATCCGTGTTAGTAGAACTCTCTATTTAGTGTAACATCTCTTCATTCTCTTTAATTTTGTCATTTGAGAAATACACATATGATGATACGAGTATATAAATAATGTTTATTTATTAATTATTAATGTGACATAAAGTTTTTTTTTTTTATCAAAAATGTTTTAATTATTAGTAATATAATATTATATAAAGGAATTCAAGCTTCTTACGAGCTTTCGAGTCGAGTAATGAGCTACTCGACTGGACTCATTAACGAGCTTTCGAGTAATGAGTAGCTCACGAGTTGTCTCGTCTCATAAGCACCCCTAATTGGCGAATTAAGATTAAGAAGAAGAGGAAGAGATGTATATTTTGATAATCGATACAAACTAGTTATGAAGAATAGATGTTATAACTGCTCTGGTTTGTCTCATAAAACCTGTAGTAGATGTCATCCAACTCCCAAACCACTTAAATTGTGTTACCAGGTTTATGAGCACAAAAGACTGAACATTGTTTATTATTGACTTTTATAAAGCTGATAATAACATTATTTAGCATGTGTTCATCTAAGTGTTTTTTCATAAACAATTGCCAGCTACTGAGATTTCTGTCTCCTGCTCGGAAGCTATGTGGGGATAGATTAGCAAGCTGTACTGCTGTAATGGTTTAGAATATAATTTTCAATGCAGGCTTAGTTGCTAGACCCAGATTGTGCTCTATATTTCTTTGGAGGATGGATTGAATTTTTTTGGGGAAAGGAAAAACACCTATTCTCACAGCCACCCCTAAATGATAATAATAAGTTTCAAAATTGCTCTAAAATGTCACTCCATTTTCTCATATCTATTTCTTCCTCCTTTTTTTTTTTTTTTTTCCCCCTTAATCGCAGCGTTGGGAATTCCACAATTAAAAAAAAATTGTCACTATTTTTTAGTCCATAAATGCATTTTTTTGTTGTTGACTAAGACCTTAGTCCAGAGTTTGTGAATTGATTACTACTTATTGGCATTGACCGCCACATGCAATTCACATGCCTTCATCAAAACCCTAGATTGTCTCTCCTTTTTCTTCATAACCACCATCCCACCATCAAACCTGCATTTTTTCGGCTTGGGTGGTGACCTTTAAAATGGGTCTAAGGAGGACAGAGATTGAGGGGTAGAGGGAGAGAAGAGAGTGTGAGAAAAAGAGAGTGGATTAAGGCGAGGGGCTATAGGGGTGGCGTATGTGCCTTTGCCTTTGCCTTTGCCTGCAAGGAGGATATATAAAGAGGTATGAGAAGGAGATATGCAAGACGCAAGGTTTTTTATCAATGGGGTGGAATTGGAGGCGACAACGGTAATTTGAAGTAGATAGTAAAGTGCAAATGGTGGTGGGGTGGTGGAATGGTGGTTGAGAAGGAAAAAGGGAGAAAATATAGGCTTTGAATGAAGGCATGTGCTTTGTATATGATGTTTAATCTCGGAAAGTGATGGTCAACTTTTGGAGTCCAACTGAACGTCCCGGTCAATAACCAAAAACGCATTAAAAATCAAGATCCGAATTTGCTACCTTTTCAAAGTAAAAATGGTCCTTTCTCACAAAAAGTGATGACTTTGACAAATTTATTTTGCAACTATCATTAAGAGCTTATCTCTCTTTTCCATGTGGAATTGCCTTTTTGAGTGCCTTGAGATTGGAAATTTATCTTCTTGCCGTATTCGTACATTCATATTTAACTTATTTACACACTTAAATATATTTCTAGTATCAAAAGTTTAAAGCCTTTTAGTTTAGAGGTCTTGATTTCAGATGTTGATACCTTGATTTTGTTGCTACTATGGCTATGTACAACCCATTTCATATTATGATGTTGCCTGTTAGGCAGTATCAGTAGCATGCAACAGGTGCTAATATTGAAATGATTGGGCAATTCATAAATTCAACCTTTTGTAGTTTTGGTGTACTTTCAGATATTTGGCATTAGGATCCCTTATTTTCCTCATCTCTTGATAAGTATCATATTATCCTTTTTGTTATGTCACAAAAATAAACTTCATGTTTTTACTTAAAGTAATATTTATAATCTTGATATTATATTATTCTCGTGTGAGTTGTGTCCACATCCCATATATAGTTATATACTCTCTACTAGTCCACACTTTATCTTACTTTTTTTTTTTTTTTTTTTTCCTGTTTACTATTTACTATTCTTAATCTCCATGCAAAATCCAAATGTGAACTATATTAGGGATAGAGGGAGTGTAAGAAATAAACATTTGTTGTATTTTTAGTTTTTTGCTTCCTTACTTTTTTTGGATCTATCTTTTTTTTTTTTTTCTGTGTGTGCCTTTAACAGTCCTGTCCTTGTGATATAAGAGCTAAGTCTTTTTTGAATGAATTTTGACTGTGGGTTTCAAAGAAAAACAATAATGCCTTATTGCCTTCTCTATTTATTTTTGCCACTTTTGTCCTTCCTGTTCTACACTATTGTAAGTTTGTAACTTTGTAAGTGATCGTGGTTCAATGCAGGCCAAGTTCAATGAGCTCGCTTTGGTGGACCAAGTGGGTGCGCTTAAACTTATGAGAGAAGCGCTTAAATTTATGAAGGAAACTTTTAAGTTGAAGGAACTCCTGTATGGTTTCAAACGATTGCAGCAACAAAAAAAATCCATCAACCTGCACGATCAAGTAATTTCTATATCTTGCTTTTACAATTTATAAAGTGATTCAGTTTTGCCTGTCAGTAAAGCCGATGAAATCATTTCTCAACGCTTTCTATTATATGGATTATGACACATTTCAACCTGCTACGCTAAGGAGATTACAATGTACATAAGAAAGAATGAAAGTTGAAATTTAAAGAAAATTTATGTTGCTCTTACCCATTCCAAATACTTTGAGTCACTTTTCACTGCTTCTCATTGTTTCTTTTCCAAATTTCTATTATCCCCTTATCCCAAATCCTGAAAACTGGATTAGAAGCACTAAAATTTGCAAACTTATATGGCATGTTTATCATACATGTACATGTACTCTCCAGAACAATGCTTGTGCATGGTAATGAATGATAAAAACTCATTGTTATCTCTTACTGGTACATTTAACTGAGATATGGTGGCATCATGGCAGTGGTGTCGTGTTTAATGGTGGTGGGTGGTGAATTGGTGATGGAGGGAGACACAAGAGGCTGGGCTAACTGTAATGATTTGGAGACAACAATTTGCTGGTGGATGGTGTAGCAGGTAGAACTAATTTATCAAATTAGAATAGCAGCCAACAAAAAGACAGAAGGAAAATTGATAACACAACTAGAAGTCCATTCTTTTACATCTACTTGTCTGTTTATTGTTGCTATTCTCTTTGAGATCATGTCTTACAATGGTTTAATTGTTTGAACATGAGTGCCTTACTGTGCAGGAAGGAACATCCACACTTGCAACTGAGGAAAGGCCTGCATCTGCTGATTCTGATTGCGATTGGTTTTCTGTAGAGACAAATTTCAATGCTTGTATCCTTCAGTTTGAAGAAAACACCAGTAATTTGGAGGATGCCATCAATAAGAAAAAGTATTGTGCGCCAGCTGAATAGCATACTGGTTACCTTCGCAAATTGGTTTGATTCACCAGGATAAATTGCTGTGATGTTTATTTTTCCTGTTAGTTTGTCTCTTGTAGATTAACTGGGAGGCCTGAGAGGTGCCTTTTGTAACAATTGTAAGATTATCAATTTCAATCTTGATGAATTGCAGGTAGGAAAGATTTAAGTTGTGGCAACCTCCATATTCATGTAGCTGACCCCATCATTGGGATTAAGGCTTCGATTGTTGTTGTAACCTTCATCATACTGGTTTATTCAGGGTTAAATGGTGAACATGGATTAGTGTATCTGGCATTCTGGCTGTAAGAATAATTGCTTTTGTCTTTATGTTAAGTGTTGAAATGTTGAATGTCATGTAAACTAGAATCGCAATAATCTTACATGATTCTTTCAAAAATTAATGTGATTCTCTCTCATTAAAGCTATTTCCCTATCAGCCATGGAAAAGAGATATGAAACAAGCAAAGCTTGGTGCAGTTGGTGGAAACTCACCTTGTGAATTTGAGTCTCATCAACTTCATTTGCTTGAGCGTAGGGGGATTACCTTATCTCTCCCCTCTACTCTTAAGCGTTGACCTGCGGAGCTGGCTAACTTAGCCTGTGAGAGGTGCTGGTTCAGTAGGGTTCTTCATCTTACCTTAAAAAAAAAAAAATAATAATGGAAATGAGATATGAAGATATGTATATTTTCCAATGTTTCCATATGTAGTCTCTTGTTAAAATCATGTGTAATGCTTTTTTTTTTTTTTTATTAGTTTGACTTTCATGTTTCTCATTGCACTACTTTAACTGCTATTTATATTATAAGTAAAAAGAATATATTTTAAAAACATGAATTGAGACTAATGACATTCTTAATTCTTTTTTAAAAAGCAAAAACCTATAATTATTTGCTAAACAAAAGTTTAAAGTAATTACATAACATACTACCTTTGTTTCACATTATGAAACGATAGGAGTATTCAATTAAACTTGGATAGGTTAGTCATGGACTCATGGTAAGATAATACGTTAGGTTTACCTAAAGACATGTTAAAATAAATAAATAAAATAAAATAAAGATAAAATATAGAATCAAATCAACTAGCAACTGTAGCAAGACAAGGATGATACATGTCATCTCCTGATTAAAAATTTTCCCTCTATTTTTTTTTTTTACAAACCTTTTTTCAACTTTACTATTTTTGTAATAAAGTTTATTTCAATTTATTAAAATCATCTTGGTAACATATATCAATAACTTTATACTGAAAGCGAAGTCAGGGATGATACATGTCGATCTTCTGGTTATATATTTTCCCTCCATTTTGTCTTTTTTTTTTTTTTTTTTTTGGTCAAACCTTGTTTCAACTTTACTATTCTTGTTAATATTAAGGATCGACAAAAAAAATACAATAATTTTGAATAGAGCACGGTCTCTTCACCTTAATTTTATACTAGGTAATATTCAATAATATACGTAGTAGTTTAATTTCAGAAAAAATAAATATTGTCATTCAAATTTGTTCAGTCAAGAGTCAACCAGACAATATCCAGTATTTTTGCAATTGTTGCATAACATTATTGCATTGGACATGCTTTCTTAGCAAAGAATACAATAGAAACATACAATCAAGTTCTCACTTCAAAAATAAGATGAAGATAATTTAATTTTAGCAAAAAGAGCATAGTCAATAGTAGTGGTTTAGTGTCAAAATAGAAAGTATTACAAATATTTTGAATTGGCAAAACTATACAATAGTTTTGAATAATAGACCATGCACTATTCACCTTAATTTTATACTTGATAATATTTGATCAAAATACATAGTAGTTTAATTTGAGTAAAAAATAAATATCGTCATTATTATCATTCAAATTTGTTTGGTCAAGGGTCAACCAAACAATATCCTGTATTTCTGCAACCGTTGTGTGCATTATTGCATAACATTAATGCATTAGATATGATTTTCTTAGCATAGAATACAATAATAACATACAATCAAGTTCTCTCTTCATTTCAATAAAATTAAGATGGAGATAATTTAACTTTAGCAAAAAAAGCATAGTCGGTAATAGTGATTTAGTGTCAAAATAGAAAGTAGTGTAAATATTAAGGATCGATATTCTACAATAATAGATCATATTCTCTTCACTTTAATTTTATACTAAGTAATAATCAATAATACGTAATAGTTTAATTTCATTAAAAATAATTACCGTCATTAAAATTTGTTCGGTCAGTGATCAACCAGACAATATCCCGTATTTTTGCAACCGTTGCTGGCAATTATTACATAACATTATTGCATTGGATATGCTCTTCTTAACATATAATGCAATAAAATCACACAATCAAGTTCTCTCTTCATTTCAATTTCAATTGCTCTAAACCTAAACACCCAAAACCCAGAAAAAAAAAATAAAAATACAATAATAAAATAATTAAAAAAAATACAGTAAAATTGAAACAGAGTACTTGTATACTCTGTAAAATGGTTATAATTCCGCCATGGACAGACCTTCCTGATGAACTTCTATCCGACATATCTAAACGCTTAGACACAAACCCACTTGACATTTTAAGCTTCCGTAGCGTATGTCATTCATGGTTGTCTTCCTCTCCATTTTCTCTCTCCTATTCGCCGCAGTCTCTGTTTTCTCCCCTGCCTCTCATCACCCCATCTCCGCCTGATCCTCTCCTTCACCGCTATGCCATTCCAAACTCCAACGCTTCCTTGTTATCTGGCACTGCTATCTTCGCTCTTCGCCCGCAATTTGATCCCGATGATACTCCATCTTGCATGGCTAATGCTTGGGTTCTGTTTCTTGATCAACCGAAAATTGATAAAGTGAGTATTCGTAAACCCTTTTCGCAAAGTCCTTATTCTAGGCCTATGAATTTTCCTAACAGTATTGATTTGTTAAAGTATCGTATTACTGAATTGGGTCGATTTTATAATCTTACTAATCTTCCTGAGGATGGGGGTGGTAAGGTTTCGAAACCTCGTGATTGGTTAGGGGATGTTCTTAAGGTGGTTTTGATTTCAAATGGGGATGATTTTGCTGTTGTTGTCCTCTCACATGAAGGGAAATTGGGGTTTATTAGGCTGGGTTTTGGGGATAGTTTTGAGAATTTGAATGCTGAAACTGACTGGGAGATTATACATGATGGTAGAGGCTTTCGCTTTGATGACATTGTCGAGTTGAAGGGCCGGGTTTTAGGTATTGATCGTAGGGGACGGATGTATGAGGTTGAAATTGGTTGCTCATCGAAGGTGAGTGTTGTATTGTGGAACTGATTGGGAGATTGTATCTAGTCGTTCGATGTAATGTTCGTGGGAAAATTGATGCTTTGTTTAAAGTTTATGAGCTGAATGAGAGTTCAAAGAAATGGGTTGAGGTTAAAAGTATTGGTGATCAGACTTTTTTCTTTGGTACTCAATTTTCCTTTGCTCCATGCTTCCCATGGGAAAAATTGCATCCTTTTTAAAGAGCAAAGTTTTATCAACTATAGTGGAATTGATGACGAACCTGCCTTGTTAAAGTTTCAACAACATGAGCTTCGTGTTAGTGTATGGAATTTGGATCATGCTGCTCATCTCAGTGCTATTGGATCACACCCTGGCTATTCTAATATACTGTGGCCGCCACCAACTTGGATCTGGCCGAATCACAAATACGTTTTTCATTGCATTTGTTTGTCATTTGTCAACTACTGCTTAAGATGATGCTATATATTTCTTGTATGTTAACTAACACAAAAAAGTCCTGCTTTGTCATTCAGTCTTTCTTTCTCTCTTTGATAAAGTTATGGATTAGAGAAAGAATTAGATTAAACCCGTGCGATGCACGAATTGAAAAAATTATTAAAATGAAATAAATTATTTTTATTTATTATTTTCCCGTACATACTTATAAATTAGATCATATAAACATATCTTTCATCATAAATTAAACAAAATATAAAAATGAAAGTCACTTTGATCTAATCAAACCATATATATCTAAGAGTTCGAAATACAAATTAAAAATACATGTAACTTAAATAAATTGAAGTGATGTAATAAAAAAAATAAAATAAATTGAAGCACCTTGAAAATACTGCGAAACAATGGTAACATTTAACGACAAAATTAGTTAATTTTTGTTTAACAAACATCTATATTACTATTACATGACTTCATAGCTAGGTTGCTTGCACAATCCTTAGTTTACACACACAAATAACAGTAAAACCTTAAAAAAAAATTAAAAAAATGCCGTAGTTGCCTAAAATGTTTTAGCTCAATATCAATTTTATTTATTCCAACCAAAAAAAATTATTTATTTATTTATTTATTGACACGGTCAAAGATTGAAATAAAAATAATTAAAAATAACCAATTTCTATAAAAAAAAACCAAAAATATATGACATCGTAAGTGTATTAGGCGGGAAATTTTTTTAGGAGAGAGCGGCACGTAAACGTTTGAGGAGAGGATGATGTCAGCAATTTTTTGTTTTAGTAATAGTTAATAGATACGATCTTTAGCATGATCGCAAGAGGAAATGCCAAAGCTCTGAAGAAGCTAATGTACACAATCATTTACTCGTGTCATTTACTTCTGAGGGGCAACTTCGATTTTGGTGTAAATATCTTAATTTGAAGAGAGAACTTAAATTTCTTTCTTCAAAGTTTTAGCTTTGCTGTAAGTAAGTACATTAGCTTCCATGGTGTGACTTAGACAAGTACATATCGTGTACAATGTGATGCGGCTGGTGCCCTTGTGTTTGACTTAAAAAGGCCGTTTTTTTTAGGCATTTCTAGGATTCAATGGGGAAATGCTGCCATGATTGTCGGGCTTTCCTGTCATGACATATCTCACTTCTTGTGACCTGCCTTTGAAAGGGGACTCTATTACTTTATTCAAAATCAATTTATTCATTTCAATATTTCATCATTCCTAGTGTACACATTTTATGAAGTATCCTCATCCTGTCATCCAAGCTCGCAGCAAGTTGTGGCTTGCATACATTTGTTTGGCAATACCCTGGCACATGGTTTCCTTTAGGTCCCGTTTAATTTGATGTAAAATATTTTCATGGAAAATGATTTTCCTATTTTTCTTTGGTTTGTGAAGGAGTAGAAAACAATTTTCCTCCATGGTGGAAAACATTTTCCATTACAAAACAAGGAAGCCACATTTTCCTCCCAACTCCACCTCCTTTTTACTTTCCTCTCATCCATCCTCACAATTCCGCCATGGTCAGCCCTTTTATACATTGAGAGAAGATTAATGGGAGAAATATTATGGTGAATACTATGTAGTGGTTTTTATAATTAAGTTTTTCTATACATTTTGGAAGAGAACTTCTTTATCTTTTGCAATTTCCATATTTTAATGCAAATATTGATCTTCTTTCTCCTTAAATAGAATGGCAGACAATGTTGAGACTTTTTTTC